TTAAAAAACAATATAGAGCAATCAAATGTTTTGTTACTCAAAAAATCAAAATGCTAAGTTTTCATTCTAAAAAATATGCTAGAAATCTAAAAAAACTTTTAAATTTGGAATGGATAAAATTTAGCCCTATCATTTAAAACTTTTAAAACTCAAAAAGAAAATTAAAAAAATTGAGGAGAGGTATCTAATCGGAAGTCCCTAATCCGACAAAAAAAAACTAAATCCAACAATTTAGTGTCCTAAATTAAGAATGGCGCAACAAAAAACAAATAAAAAAACCTCCTAGTCGGAAGTCCCTAATCCGACTTGGCAACCCCAACCCCTTTTTCCCGTATTTTGGTAAAACACCCACTAATCTTTATGGTGGTTAGGTAATCGGTATGGTATCTAGTATAGTATCTAAGTACGGCAATATATATAGCATACGTAGTACTACGTATTTCATTTCGAACATTTAATTAAGGAGTTATTACTTCAATATTACTAAATTAAATGTGATTTCCTAAAATGTGATCACTTTTACATTTGAACAAAAGTGTGACTAAAGTAGTCATATTCATGTCATTACCACATTTTAATGTCACTGATCAAATTTAACGTCACTATCGAATATCACTGTCGCCATCACCGGTGTCACTGTGACCATCGCCCGTGTCACTGTGGTCACTGCCCGTGTCACTGTGGCCACCGCTCGTGTCAGTGTTACTGCCGCCCACGCACCCGACCAGTGACTCCCGCCACCCTCGGCTAGTGACAGCCCTCGCCGCCCCAGCCTTGCCCCTCAAACCAGTCACTGCCCACCTGCCCAGCACCCTAGTGACGCCGCCGACCATCATCGCACCGCCACTACCCCCGCCCCCGGCTTGACTCCCCCCCGTCACCTCACCAACCCCCTTCGATCCCCCATCGTGTCAACTCCAGTAACCGCCGCAACATTCCAGCCGTCACCTTACAACCTATGTGGCTTACCGTCGCCGTTGATAGCTCGAAGCCTACCCTCCTCTGCCCCCAAACTGCCCTCCCCATCTCGTACCCCCCTCCCAAGTCCCTTTGTACCTTCCCTCGGCCCAAATCTCGTCCCAAGCCATCGCAATACCCCCAACTCCAACCTTAGCCGCTTCCATCTGGATCTGAATCACCCTCTAGTGATGTTGCACACCGTCGGAGCGCCGCACGACATCTGTATCTGGATCTGGCAGAGATGATCCATCTGGCGTCTGCTATAGCCGTCGCGGAGAGGACGACGAGGAGCTGGGCGGTGGAGATCCATCTACTCTGTCTGCGGAGGAGCTCCATGCATTTGCGTCAACGTGTTGCTCTGTCCTCCGGGAGTGCCATGGCTTTGAGTGCACCAAGAAAGAAAGCGGAAGGTTGAGCGCATGAAGGAAAAAAAGGACGAGAAGGTCAGCGGGGCGGAAGAAAAAATGGGCCGGGTCACGTTTATGACATTTCAGAAAATGGTCATATTTTTGTCCAAGAGAAGTTGATGAGTTATATTGATGACATTCTTTCTTTAATTAATGATTTTAGTATATCATTAATAACGCCAATTTTGTACGTAGTATATTTTATTTGTCCAATTATAATTTCTTATATTAATTAAAATAAAATCTACAAAATACTAATATTAACTTGTCGGTGTCCTATTTAATCTTGAACATGCAAGAATGTGTTATTTTTAGTACGGGTATGTGATACGCTTTTTTCATTAAAAAAAATCACACACCGTTTGAAAATAACACATTCTTCTAAAAATAATAGTGATCTCCTATAAATATATGATTTCACTTTAAAAAAACATATCACTCGAGCAACATGAATATAAAGTCTTCATCCTTTATGTGAAGTTGTGTTTCTACTCACTATATTAAATTACTCCGTATAATTTTAAAGAAATTATTGAATTGAACTTTCGGTATACGGTATATCAACTATTTTTAAAATATACGAATATCATACAGAAGTAATTTTGATACGATATTTTTTGGTAAATTCGTTATGTAAAAATGGATATGAATGATTATGAATTATTTATCTGCCTCACGCCACACGGCCACACCCACGCCAATTTTCTCTGTTTACTATGTTAATAATCATTTCTGAAATTTACGTTTATAAGTCGGAAAAAATGACTTCAAGCCTTACCTAGGTCTATATAAGTAATGAAAATTAGTATCATGTAGTTGAGGTTCCCATTAGGAAAAGGTTAATTACAAGAAAAAACAGGACATGTAACTTCAACAAGCAGGAAAATCTAAAGGAAAAAACATGTAACTTCAATAAGAATTTGAAGTAGAAATGAAGCTAGATATCCAAGATAAAAGATAACGTGTACATGAAGTGTGGAAAATGTTATTTGTTTGATATATATATAATATATCGTGTTTACAAATTATCAGTCTTATCAATGAATTTTATATAAAAAATTATATAGTTACTTTGGCTGGATTGGGTAAAGTAACTGTATACGATCATTTTAGCTATTTAGTTTTCATATAGTTTTTTCTTCATTTCATTAACATAATATATTTTAAATATAATTTTTTCTCAAACTCAACGTATTCATTCAATTTATTCAGTTTAATTACAATTTCATCAATTTCAACTGACTCAATATTTTAACGTAATTTTTTCCATGGGTATATTAGTGTGGTGTATTGCGTAATTCTTTCCATGGGTTCTTGTTTGACTATTATTGTTTTGTGAAAACAATTAAACGCGTGATACTTTTTTAGTATGCACAATTTATACATAAGTATACATCAATTTAAATTAATCATATGCCTTGATTCCCGGTTTGTAAGCAAACTCCACAGCCATCACCATCACACTGATCATGATTTCCATTGCATTCAAAACATGCGTCTCTCTTCTTCCTTTCTAGAACAAATAATGTCCAAAAAGAAAAACACCAATAAAAAGAAGAATTGTGCAGTTAATTTTATACTACGAATAATACATCGCCTTTTATTTCTTAATAATATATACATCGCCTTTTATAAAATATAATTACATCTCTCTCGATGTACAGTTTTTAATAATAACTTTGGGTACGTACTTCATATTGTTATTTAATTTATAGACAATTGAATATGACAGTATGTCAATGACAATATATTCAATTCAAAGTTGTGTATTAACTAGTGAAATAATTACGGAGCACAAGTATATATTAGTAAAATAAAGATGATGTATAAAATGTGACCTCTTATTAAAAGTGACTATAATAATTACATTAAGGAAATTTTCCGGGAGTAAAAAAGATGTTTTAGAATTTCAGAATAGCACTGACCGCTATGTTATTTTTTTTTCGAATTTACTGTCATCCTATAGTCATAATATCAAATAGTTGCACTACTACGCCGCATTCAATATGACGATATTATTATTATTATTATTATTATTATTATTATTATTTATGACGGTAGTTTTTAATTAAAAAAAGTTCATAAAAATTGTTTTCTCATATTTATGGCAATTAGTATGTTTAGTTTTACACTTTTACACTAAAGTGACGATGTAGTTATGGAGACAAAATTTTGTTTTATGTTTGTGAGCTAAACTGTTTAATAACAATGTGAAAGAGAAAATGCTTCGTATTATTTTAGCAAAAAGTATACGGAGTATATAATAACAATCATGGCAGGTCCTGCCTGCCCATTTGTATGCCTATAGGCGGTACACTATTTTGAGCCTAGATCCATGACACACAGTAAATCATATTTGGGCAATGAAGTTCATAATGTAAAGACGAGAATCACTTTATTACTATAAGACTAAAATCACTTCTAAATCCAATCATAGGAGTATTATATAAAGTTACATATTTGGGTAAAAGTAACAACACGAGTATCGAATAAAAAGAAAAAACATTACTTATATTTTTCGTAGACCAATGCGAAGCAAATCATTAATAATTGTTTCATAGGCAACCTTCTTTCCACTAATAAATATGACAAACAATGAAATTGCCACATATGATAACAGTAAACTTTCTTTTGAAAGGATAAATGAAAAGAAATATTACCACTAATAAAGTTCAGAATGATTTATTGACCGCTGATGAGAGTCTAAAGTTTGAAGTCTGAAAAGAATGAGGATTTTCAAAGAGACGAAATGTTTGGCTGTCAAAAGAATTCGCGCAAGAAGATTGCAACTTTGACGTTCTCTATAAGTACTATTAGGAACTCAGATATAGCTTATTGAAATTTGAAAACAAATGATCAATTGGGGTGAAATTTGAGAGAAACAAACTCTAAAGTAATTATATAAATTTGTTATGTTATAACTAAATTGAATAAAAAACCTTAAAAGCTAAAAAGATGTGAGGACTAGAGAAACATGTTTTTTATTTATGGAGCAACAATTGTATTGCTTTTAAAAACTACAACCGATCCTTCTAAAAATTAATGTATGTATTCTGTTTTAAACTTGTCTCTCTTTAAGATTCTTTATTTATGTTTTAAATTTTCAAATTGTCAACAAATTTAATCATTAGGCCTAATTAATTGAACTTAAGAATAAAAACAGAAGCCTACTTACACTCTATATATAAAGAAAAAAATTTGGAACTATTTTCTTCTATTTTTTTTTGGGCCTAGGACGGTCGCCCCTCTTGCCCCTTAGAACCGGCCCTGATAACAATATTAACAATACTCCCTCCGTCCCTAATAACTTTGCCAAGTTTGACCGGTACGGGGATTAATAAAGTAAAAACTGTGTGATTGAGGTTTGTGTAGAGGAGAGAGAATTAACTGAAACCACAAATGCTTTACTTAAAGGGGAAAGTGGCAAAGTTAATGGGACATCCAAAAAAGGAAAGTTGACAAAGTTATAAGGGACGGAGGGAGTATTATTTATTTCAAACAAATAATAACAACAATACTATTATACGGAATACTCCGTATAATACTCCGTATATTATACGGAGCAAATTATAACGCGCGCCATCCAAGCCTTTACATATATACATATAAATCTAGTAGCTAGATCACTCTCGACGGGGAATAAATAACAGTTAGAGTCTAAGTGAGTGATAGAGAGAGAACAATAATTAATATAATGAGAAAGCCATCTGAGATGTCGCCGTCCGGCAAGAATGGTTCAAACGTCGGCAACGGTAACTGTAGCAGCAGCAACGTCGGGAAGCTCCGGAAAGGGCTATGGTCGCCGGAGGAGGACGAGAAGCTGATGCATTACATGCTGAGTAACGGGCAAGGGTGCTGGAGCGAGGTGGCGAGGAATGCCGGATTGCAGCGCTGCGGTAAGAGTTGCCGGCTCCGGTGGATCAACTATCTCCGACCGGATCTCAAAAGAGGCCCCTTTTCGCCGGCGGAAGAGGAGCTTATTATGCATTTGCATTCCCTCCTCGGCAACAGGCCAGTCCCAATTCCTCTTTCTCTTACACATTGACTTTTCGATCAAATTCAACTTCATCTTCTACACCTTAATTATTGAAATGAAAATTAAATGGATATATGATGGAGTAACAATTAATTAACAAAAATCGCCCATTAAGTTTATTTTTACTCAATTTGTGTGTGGCACGGGGGTCATGCTAATCTTCTCCGAGATTCCAGTTCAAGGATTTTTGCCTTAACAAAACAAATACTATATATAATAAGTTAGAAAGATTCTTCATATAATATTTGTTTATTTTTACTACATGTTTTACAAATTAAAATTATATTACTCATTATTATGAAGTAACCGGTCCTTATTAATAATGATATGATCTTTCGAAAAAAGATAAACTGGGTGCAATTAATTCTATGAAGTGTGAAGTGTACACTAAGAATTCATTAATAATTAGCATGTATAAGGAGTACAAATTAAGAAAAAACGGTGATGAATATATAATTAAAATAAAGTTGGTTGAACAAACAATTACTCCGTAACTTTTAATGTTAGTGGCTATACTATTGGCTTTAGCGATCAATATAATGTTCAAATTTACAATATTGTGAGTGTGATCGATGATATGTTTATATATAGTAGTCCTAGTCACATTTAATTTTTGTTCATAAATTTATTGCAATAATTTTAAGGAAAAATCTCATAAATTCAACATTGTAATAGAGTGAATACAAACCAATGAAGAGATCGAAATGGTTAATATAAGGAAATTAATAATTGTTCAAATGTTTATTATTACTAGTAACACTTTGACTTTTATATTATTCATAAATTTTGCTTTAACCTTTTTTATTTATGAATTTAAGAAAAAGAATCATATTTAATTAATATTAAGCAATTAATATGTTATCAAATTTGTCTTAATGCACTTTTTCGGGATTTTGCCCAAAAGATACTAAAATTATACTCATAGATAAAATGTGATTGAAATGATTATGAACATGCTTTTATAGTCACTAAAATGAAATGTTTTAACATAATATACTATCATTCGTTCTTTAAAAGTTGGAACAATTTAACTTTCATTTTTGCCAATGCACAACATTAATTGTAATTATATTTAATTATGTATTAGTAAACATTAAAAAAGTTGATATTTTGGAGATTTACATTAATAGAAATTTAATAACATTTTATACATAATAATTTGATTATACGTAGTATATTTCTTTAGAAAATCGTAGTCAAAATAAGATGCGTGAATAATGTAAAAATCCTAATGTTGCAACTTTTAATAAACGGAGGAAGATAATCATTGTTACTAAAATTAACTAATTAAGTCACACTTTTGTCCACTCCATATTTTGATAATATTTTGGAATTATCACTTTTCCTTCAACCTGTTAAATTTACAATATTAGAGATTAGTTAATTAAACATAGCATAGATCAATGTTATGGCAATCAAACTGTTGTCATCAATAGAAAGTACAGTAAATGTTACAAAGGCGGCTTTCATTTAAGTAGGTAGCATGTAGAAAGACACTCATGTTAACTTCATTACGAGAATGCGGTTAGCTGGACAAGCTACTCAGTTGGTTCAATGGTGGAAGATTTGGAACAATGACCAAGGTTTGAAACCTGTAGCGGCCGTGTGAAGGTTACAGCTCCTGCGTGCTGGGCTGGACTTCTAATGCGCACGGGTATAAGACCTACCATCATTAGGTCGACTGAGTCACCGTGACTTACATCTTCCCAAAAATCATGTCGAATCGGGGTATGTTGTCGGGTCAGAGCGCGGGGATTCTACCTTTTCGAACCAGAATTACGAGAATACGGTTCATGTACTTTTTAACACGTTTTCATTAAAAGCACGTTTTAATTAGTGCATTTTCAAATTCAGCAAGTCATACTCCGTACATCGTATTCTTCGTATAACACAATCTATTTTTTATACTCACAAAAATTATTAGTGGAGAAGCCTGGGTGGGCAAAATGAATTCCCTAAGTCTGTATTTGACATTTTGACACATATACTTCCTCCATTCTTTTTAATTGTAATGGTCCACTTTTCATGTTTACTAACATACAAGTTTGACCATTAATATCTTACATTCTTTATTAGTAAAAAAATTAAAAAATTTAGATTTCGAAAATTTAAAATGAGAGGAATTTAACAATATTTTTTTAAAATGTAATTTATAATACATTAATAAATAAAATAGAGTCAAAATATAACATGTGAATAGTATAAAAAGTTTAATGATGCATTTAAAAGAGAACATAAGTGATATTAAAATGTGAATAAAATAATCATACGTAGTATAAAACTTTATTTCTACGTTATTTATTTGTAAACGTTCACTAAAGTGGGTTTGGATTAATCATCCTTACAAGGATTCACCATGCTACGTCCGTCCCAAATTGATTTACAAAGTCAATATTTTTTTGTCAAACAATTTCATTTTATTCACTTAATCAGGACATCAATTTTTAATATTTATATTCGAATTTGGATTTAACAAGTTTAATTTGTAGAGATTTTAATGTAGTTTATATACATGTAAATTTTAATTATTAAAAATTGAATTATTTATTAATAGGGACGATTCTAATTTAACATTGATTGGTAAAAAAAAATTGACTTTACAAATCAATTTGAAAGGAAGAGAGTAGAACATATATTTCTGTATCCATAAGGCCGTACATCATCAATCATGTAAGAATTTTATTCGGGGAAACTGCGTTTTTTTTTGCGAGGATGGTTTGTAATTTGTAATTTGTAAACATATAGGTCTGTTTGTTTTTTGGAGGTTTCAAGCCAAACCGCTGCTTTTAGCAGCGTTTTGCTTCGTAAAAAGTTGGCGATTTGGCCAAACCCGCCAATATCCAAAATGCTACTTATATGAGATCAACGATGTCATTAATGTTCTTATCATTCTTTACCGATACTTGTCCAAATATTTCTCCTATATCTTTGAAGTCTTGAGTTAATAAAATTCCTCAATACTTTTATCCATTCAATAATGTTCTTTCCGGTTAGTCTTTTACATGGTTAACATTCCTTCGTCCACCTCAACTTCGTACATTTTCAAGTTAATTATTAATAAGATAGCTAGTACGTAGTATTTATTGACAATTTCCAAATTCTAACCCAAGTTTAAGTGAACAGTTTATGATCCCATACTGGCATACATCAATATCGAAGATCTTAATTAGCATAAGGAAAACTTAATAAGTAGTATGATGAAAGTTTAAGAAATATCAAGATATTTATCATTTTTCCTATTTATGGTTTGCATAGTATTAGAGAATATACTAGTATTAATGTGCCAAACACCATGTAATATATACTCCATCCGTCCCGCTCATTTCTTTCAACTTTCCTTTTTGAATCGTCCCAATTAACTCTTCCAACTTCCACTTTTGAAAAAAATATGTGGTTCACATTCATTCACTTTTTTCTTACGCAACTACAATCATACATTTCTACTTTATTCTCACTTTTTAAATTTGCGAGCCAAGTCAAACTTGGAAGAAATGACCGGGACGGAGGGAGTATTTCTTATGCGTTAGACACCTCTGCTAGCTTTTAAGATAAACCAAAATTGCATGAGCTGAGGTCTGGTATATATAAAAAATTGTAGATTTAGTATAGTAATTTATTCATGAACTCATTATTACCCATGGCGGATCCAGATATTTGTGAGAGCGGGGGTACACTAGACACTAAACGTAGTGTATAATAAAAACCCCGGGCTCGAAGCGGGGCACTGATTTTTACCTTAAATGCTACTAGTGAATTTTGCAGGCCCGAAGCGGGGACACGTGCCCCCAGCCCCCTCTTAGCTCCTCCACTGATTATTACTAATTAGTCATGTAGTCCGGCCTGTAATTTTTGTACTAACAAATCAGGTTTTGTAACATACTCACTCCGTCCCGAAAAGGTTCGTCAAATTGTCTTTTCTCGGTCAATGATAATCAACTTTGACCAATTATATATTTTTAACACAAAACTATTTTGAATATGAAACTTATATAAAAATGTTTCTTATTCAAATATTTTTATAAAAGTATAATATTTATAAATTACGATGGTATATATAAATATATATGATAATTGAAATCGTTGTCCAAAGTTTGCCATCATTGATTAAGAAAAGTCAATATGACGAGCCTTTTCGGGAAAGATGTAGTATAAACTTGTTCAAATGATTGATTTGACCAGTAGATAGTACTACATACTCCCTCCGTCCCATATTTATCTTCGTAGTTCGGTTTACGATGCTTGACTGACGATAAAACAACTTGATCCCTGTTCACACTAAAATTATTTTTAGTAAACTAAATTTACATATTCAGAAACTACATTAAACCCGCTACAAAGGCTGATCAAGAAAATTTAAGTTTGATAAAAAATTGATATATGAAGTAAAAGTTTAAGAGTAATTTGAGTTGACCGTGTGAATAGTAACTATGAAGATAATTTTGGGACGAAGGGAGTATAATTTATGAGATACAATTTCATTTGTACTATGGGCCATCTTAAAAAAAAGGATGACACCTCATCCCTGAGGGCCCCCAACACCGACCGGACGGTACGTTGGGAGGATGTAAATTGGACTATAATCACAATCTGACAGATAGAGAGTGAACCTCTATCCGTGGTACTAGCAGATGCCCTATGCATTTTTTATCATAATAACCTCTCATCGCAGTTGCGGGGATTCTAACCCGGGACCTGTGCCATCTAGATTTTGCTTATAATGGATCTTCTCATCTTAGCTTTAATTGTCAATGGTTCCTCCATATCACTTCAATCACCGATGAGATTCCTGCAAGAATATCAAAAGGTTTCAAGTTATCTTTTGAATACTAAGTAACACGCTACCATTCAAATATGGAGATTTCACCATGAATAAAATATATTAAGCTACCATTCAAATATGTGGCATTGTATATTCATAAGGGGGCAAGGTTACACTTCAATCTTATAAGCCTATTTGATGAAAAACTATTTCCTTGATAAATAAACGTCCTTAATTAAGGAGGCAAACTAATACTTATCAAACACGTACGTTGTTTTCTCCATCCCCTTACATGCCATGTATGTAATACTCTTCCTAAACTCATACCGAGTAGTAAATTAATTTTTCATCAAATATCCCTCATGCTATAAGTACATTACTTCTCATTATAGAATAATAGCTGACATGATAAAATGTGAGATGAAAGTGCGCACCCAACGTTTTTATTGCATATATTCAACGATTTTTAATTAGAAATTGCTCTAAATAGAAGCAAAAACGTTTTGAAATTCCAAATTAGGAGTATCATGTTTTTTATTCCCTTAATAGGAGTAATCTGCCAAAATTGGAAGAAAATGCCATGTTTTAAAGCTAGTAATGCCAAACTTGGCAGAAATTTACTCCTACTCAAGGAATAAAAAACATACTCCTATTTTGGAACTTCAAAACTTTTTTACTCCTATTTAGAGAATTCTCCCTTTTTAATCTGCAGGATGATTATGATTTAAATTTTTGTGTACAAGCAGGTGGTCTTTAATTGCAGCACGTCTACCCGGGCGTACAGATAATGAGATCAAGAACTTTTGGAACTCAACACTGAAAAAGAGAACGAAAAACTCTTCATCATCTTCATCCACCACATCACCAAACACAAGCCACTCTACATCTTTAGAGACATGCAGGGACATTATCGTTGGAGCTCACGACCATCAAACTAGCAATAACAATCACACTATTGGGTCCTTAATATCTTCACCGATGTACATTCATGACTCATTCATGTCATCTCTATTTTCTTCCTCCATATCCCTAAACACCACACTTGATACATTGCCAACCCACTTTTCAAATCTGGAAACATATTGTGGGGAGGATGTTATGTTTGGTGGGATCAAAGGAGCATTACATGGATCTATAGACAATATGGCAATGGATAGTATGATGAACATGCATAATATTAACCCCAAGGGTAACTATGCAATGGAGAGCAGCACCGACCACTCAAGTGACCATTTTATGAGTAATGACACAATCAATAAGATCAAAGTACAGAATAATGTGGGAGAAGGTTGTGAGAGCTATTGGGAAGATGCAAGAGAATGGGACATAGAAGATTTGATGAAGGATATCCCCAATCCTACTCCATTTCTTGATTTTCCGGTTGAATAGTTAGTTAATAACACTTGCTCACATTTCCAATCCCCAATCCCCAATTCTATACCCTCACACATTTACACAAGACTGTGATTTTATCAAATTGTTATTGATTTTTAGGCGTACATCTATCAAAGAGGTATTAATTCAATAATAAAATTGTAAGGAGAGTAATTCTTGTAAATATGTGTAAAGTAATCATGTATATTATCTACTCTATTACAGTGTTTGTAATGATCTTAATCTAAATCTAGCTATTTGTGATGAGATGTGAATATAATACAAGTATATAGTTATAATCTTTGATTAAGTAGTACTAGTTAGATATGGTTATTGTACTTATATTTTGGCTTCATGGTAGTAAACAATTGCATTAGATGAGTTAGTTGTCTTCGAAATATACTCTAATTATATATTGATGCACGAGACTTATTTGCCCTCTCATTATCTAATGAGCCCCATACATATCCTTCACTGTTTCATACCCATGAAAACAATTGACATCTATAATCAAACTCAAACTCATCCACTTTTCTCAAGCTATTGTCATTCATATTTTATTTACTCTGTACTTCATTTCATTATTTCAACAAAATGAAAAATAATATTCTTCTTTTTTAACTTTAAGTTTTATTTCATTTCATTATCTTAGTAAATTAAAAGTATCATTTTTGTTATATTCAAAAGGATCCAAATATATTATAAGTAGAGATGAAATGTGTAAGAACAACACTATCCTTCACTACGTATGAATCTTCAATCCTTTAGAAATGAAAGCTTTTCCACCACCTTTTTTAGTTTTATTCCAGCCTTTTAATTATTAGAACTCATTAGTGCATATTAAGTATACATTTGGTTGCCTCTTCTAAAACATTTTATGTAACACTTTTCCCAAGTATATTCAATTTTATGTAAATAATGCATTGAACCTTATGAAATGGTAATGAATTTACGAGGTTGTAAACCTTATAAAAAATATGGATGTCTTTCCCACCGCCTCCACTACCTCCCTGCACCACCACCTCCGGGCGGTGAAAAAAAATTCCATTTTTCCTAAAAATTGCCTTTTTTTTGAAAATGCCAAAAACATGGCATATTTCTTTTTTTGCGAATGCCACCATTTTCATTGTTTTCTGCCACAAATATGGCATTCGTAATGAACTTGACATTTTTTCCCGTGGTGACTGGAGGTGGTGGTGCTGAGGCGGCAGAGGCGGCGGTGAATTTTATTTTATTTTATTTTTGAGTTTTTTATTTTTTTTAAAAAATTATATTTTTTATTTTTTGAAAAATAAATAAATAAACAAATAAATTATTATTATCAAATAAGTCATAAATTAACTAGGTTATGATTAAATAAGTCATATTTTAGAATTAACTAGGTTAGGGATATTAAGGGTACAATAATGTTTATATTTACTCATATATATTGGGCAATTTTTATATATTATATGAGAGAATATATGGAGTACGTTCATGTGTTCATTATGAAACATATTGTAGCATTTGATGTGCTTTATATATTTTTCTATACTATGGTGAGTAATTCTTGCATTTGTGAAATAAATTGCACGTCATATCAACAAAATGTAGTGGGTGTTCAAAACATTTGTACAATTGTCCTCTTCTAGTCTAGGGAATGAGAACTGAGAGCATGATATAGTAGTAATATACCGATTTTGTTGTTGTTGAAGGAGTGATATACCGGACTTAAATTGGGGTGGGTCTGAGAGTAACAGTGTATTCTACTGGCCTATTGGGCTCGTCCTACAATTTCGGGTGCGATTGCATCCATTTAAAAAAAAGGATGACACCTCATCCCTGAGGCCCCCCCAACCCTGACCGGACAGTACGTTGGGAGGATGTAAGTTGGACTATAATCTCAATCTGCCAGATAGAGAGTGAGGCTCTGTCCCCGGTACTTACAGAACGATTGCATCCATTTAATGAAGTTTCTCTGCTGTTAAAAATTAGTGAAAATTACCCAAATCAACCTCTTTTGCGTATGGTATTTCATTTGTGTCGCAAGACTTTTTCCTTTTCATTTATAAACTTTCAGGTTTTCACTTTTATTTATTTATTTCAAAACTAGCCCAAGCCCCCTAATACATAACCTCTAGCCGGATTATCCATCTTCCCTTAACCAAAACCTCTCCCGTCTCTGCAAAATCGACCGTGAATATAACTGAAATTAGAGATTGTGAGATTCATATAGATGAGGCCACCGTGATCCAAGATGAAAACTCCTCGGATGACTATGACAATTGTCAATATTACATTACTTCGGGGGAAAAGTAAAAAAGCTCCCATCTTCCTGTCTATTGCAAGTTATTTTCAGTCCTGATTTTGCTAGTTTATTCTAAATTTGAATTAAGTTTATCCAATTGAAATCAATCACTGATCATCTCTTTGTTTGCATTTGCGAAATCCTTTTATAGAAATTGTTACTGCTTAGTGTAACTTATGTACACTCTTGAATATTGCATATGCTATAAAAGCATTGGCTAGATGATTCTGTTTGTCTTGAGTTACAAGGATTGTTTGAAAGGAACATGAAACATGTTAACATGTAGCAACAATTCAAATGGATAATTCTATTTGGACAAGCTAGTAAAGTCTATTTGTAATAATAACTTTACTCTCATCAGGATTTGCAGCAGATTGGTAAAAATTATTTTTGGAACTATAGTTTAAGCATTTATGTTCAGGTTTAAGTGTTGTTCTAGCTACATGTTATCTAACTGTTACTGGATAATGCTATGACTTCAACGAGGTCCATATATCTTATTTAGATGATGAGTTCAGGGGGGGGCAAAAATTACTTAGCTTGGTAAGGAAACTTTGTCAAAAACCGAAGTTAGCGGGTCAGTTGCCTCACTCATTCTCTCAATCTCCTCAGCTTGCCATTTATAATGCACTTTAATTCTTCCCATCTTGAATCACATGATGATGATGATAATGAGGATACTGAGGATGAGCATGCTGATGGGAGAGATTAGAATTTTGTAAGAGGAAGAGTGGGGTAAAGTGAGGTCAAGTTTGACAGTACAAGGCATGACAATGAAGATGAAGGCAAGAAAACAAGTTGAGGTAGGCAAAATCGGATGGTTGAAGTGTGTTTTGTGATCAACGTAATTACTACATCTTAGTATAGGAAAAGTATGCAAATGGTAGAAGAAATGTAATGATAGTTCTGAAGTACTGATCTGATCGTATATTGAATACGTAAGAAGCTTTGGTTTGCCCTGCTTATAAAAACGTTGTATGCGATGAGATTGTAATGATAGTTCTGAACTTCTTATCATATATTGAAGATGTATTTATCATCACAAACTTGTACATATTATATTTATTTATTTTGTTTCTTTGTGTTGCATGTTGTTTCTTTTTGTTGTTTCTTTTTGTTGTATGTTGTTTCATTTTATTTTTTTTGGTTCTAGTTCTTGTATGCAGTTGCTTTTTGTTGTGTGGTGTCACTTTTCAATTTCCTTTTATTTGAGCAACTACAACACAATCTAATTAACAATGTAATGCATAATGTGACAAAGAAACAAATAGAAACAAGAAGAAACAGGATATAAACAAGAAACAAGAATAAACAATAAGAAACAAAAAATTTAAAGTTATAAACAAATAGAAACACATTGATATCATATGTAACAAAAAAATTATTTGTATATTTTCCTGAAATTTATATGGAGTATGTTTTATGTTTTTAAATCTTTTAATTTAATTGATCTAATCATTTTCTAAAATAGCGTTTAACATGCTATATGTTCTTATATTAAAACCTCATACATATTCTTCCTAATATAAATATAATATCAATTATATATTGTGATTGGTAAGAGAAATAATAAATTACTATTATATCATATTCTCAAATTTATTTTAAAACTATATTCATTTTAGACATTTTCTACATTTTCTAAAAAATTTTGAGTTTTGACATTCTTAGTTTGCTGTTTTATATTTCATAATTTTTATTTTTTACACGTTTTTAAGTTTATAAATATTCACAATTTTTAATCTCTTAATGTTTAATATGCATATACATGTATTTTAAGCTTTTTACTTTACACATTTAAAATATTTATATTTCATTTCTGTAATTTTTACATGGAATTATTTTTCAGTTTTTTTATCATTTTCAAAATTAAAAAAATATACTGTTTCATATTTTGTTTCACAATTTTAAATTATCTTAATCAAATTTATTTAGAATTGTCAATTCAATACTTCAATGCAATTTATAACTAAAAAGGGAAAAGAAAAATGAAAATATATAAATAAATGCTTCATTTAACCAATTTGAGTTGCATGTGTAGAAGCAAGTTGCGGGCTTTGTTTTCCTTGCTTTGGTGGCTGCTTTACGTGCTTCCCTTCATCTTATCTTTTTGGCGTTGCAGGCCCACAACCGATTTTTGTTTTTGGCGTACATGTGGTCTATTTATGAGAAGGAAACATTAGCTAAGCTATTTTTGAAAAAAATATTGAGAAGTGAAAAAAGTGATATTATTTTAACTTTTAGGCTTATATGTGAAAATTACCCTCAAAATTAATAGGGAAAATTCCTGAAATGAGAACAAAGAATTTCTTTTGAAAATTTCAAAATATGACTGTTATGTTTTTATTCACAGAATAAAAGTAATTACTCTCAAATTTGAAAAATATTATCATGTTTAAAGTTTGGTACTGTCAAAACATGAAAGTAATTAGTCATATTTTGAGAATATAAACATTATAGTCCTATTTAAAATAATTTACCAAATTAATACTTCCGTCCCACTAAGGATGTTTTTATTTGGACTGAAATTTGTTGATCTGATCTAATCTGATCTAGTCTGATTTATTTAAGTCTATTTTGGTCTGGTCTGATCTGATATAATAAATGTCTGGTTTCTGTGGATTTTATAACAATGGAAGTCTGATTTAGTCTGATCTATTTGGTCTGGTTTGTTTAAGTCTATTTTGGTCTGGTCTGATCCAAGTAAAAACATCCTAACAATGGAATAAGAGAATACAGAGTACTTCGTATGTCACAATTATTAAAATAAATAGGTTTGTGTGATTTATGGAACATAAAAAGTAAGAATATAATAATACGGAGTAATTATTTAGAATCACACAAATTTACTTAATTTCTTATGAGACAATATTAGTGGATGCCCCCAAAAGAAAATTTAGTCCTACTTGAGAGAATGAGTCATCTTTGATTTTTCCAGTCAATAAATTTTGAAAAATTATTTTAACTACTACTATCGTATATCTATGCAAAATTTAATAATCTTGTACTTTTATGATAATGGTTTTAACAAAAAACATTTTCATATCATCTTCATATTATGAAGTTAATAATATAGAGAAAGTATTGATAATACTATTATAAATACTTTCTCTATATTATTAACTTCAAAAATCAAATTTGGCTGACTGAAATGGGGTGAGTAATAAAAAAACAAAAAATCATTTGTACACCTTTTTACACATCAGTACACCCTCATGTCAGTGAGATTTTTTTTTTGTCTGTGAATCCCAGTTCACAGACAAAAACTACCTCGTTTTGTCTGTAGAATTTTTCACAGACAAAACAAGTCAGTTTTTGTCCGTGAATTGAGATTTACAGACAAAAAAACTCACACAACACTGAAGATATGAAGGTATACATATATCTGTATAAGAAGGTGTATAACTTTATGAAAACAATTCGAAGCAATGAAGAAGTGAGGTCCAAATATGATTGACGATGCGGGAGTGAGCGATTGGTGGGTGGGTGATCTTTGCCGACTCCTGTCGGAGTTTACTATGCTAAACCACAGGTCCTCTGATATACCGACAACTGACCCTTTCCTCTCTAGTCTCTACCGTTAGATCCAATCTCCAACTCCCCACGCTCTTCCCTTCACCACCTGTTTCATTATTCCATGCTCTGTACTTTTCACTAATTCTTGGAATCAGCATATTCCAGCTCTCGCAGATCTGTCCGCCGTCACTTCTCCCGCGGGAAGATGGCGTCTTTAGCTCTCACTTCAGCCGCGAACCTCCGTCTCCGCCCACTTCCATGTAACAAGCCCCGTCTCTGTTCTGCTCGATCTCAGCAGTTCAGCTTCAAATCTGACGAAACTAAAGTTTTACTTGCGTCCTCGCTCAGGGTCGGGGCGAGGAATGATATCCGCTTCGTGCCGCGCCACCTGGTGAAGGCGGCGGCTGCATCTGAACCAGGGGAGTTGGTCCCGGCAGCCCCGAAGCAGCAGAAGTTGCAGAATGTGGAGCCTTGGCGCGGCGCCTCGATTCTGCCACTCATCGCAACAATCGCAACAGGGGTCGCTCTATGGTATGTTCCGCATCCCGCTGGGGTTTCACGGAATGCGTGGCAGCTGTTGTCTATTTTCCTCGCGACCATTGTGGGAATCATTTCCCAGCCTCTGCCACTCGGTGCTGTGGCGTTAATCGGCCTCGGCACTTGCGTGTTGACGAAAACCCTTCCCTTCGTAGCCGCATTCTCCGCCTTCGGCGATCCAATCCCCTGGCTAATTGCACTCGCGTTTTTCTTCGCCCGCGGGTTTATTAAAACGGGGTTGGGTAATAGAATTGCCTACCAGTTTGTGTCGTTATTCGGTAGCTCTTCTTTAGGCCTAGGTTACAGTTTGGTATTCAGCGAAGCTCTTTTGGCGCCGGCGATTCCATCTGTTTCTGCCAGGGCCGGAGGCATTTTCTTGCCACTGGTGAAGTCGCTTTGTGTGGCTTGCGGCAGCAATGTAGGTGATGGGACAGAGCACAAGTTGGGGTCTTGGTTGATGTTAACATGCTTCCAGACATCTGTGATTTCTTCGTCTATGTTCTTGACTGCAATGGCTGCGAATCCTTTAAGTGTCAATCTGACTGAGGCCACGATTGGTCATGCAATTGGGTGGATGGATTGGGCTAAAGCTGCCATTGTGCCAGGTTTGGTTTCTTTGATTGTAGTTCCATTGCTGCTATACATTATCTATCCACCAACAGTGAAGAGTAGCCCGGATGCACCTAAGCTTGCAAGGGAAAATTTGGAGAAGATGGGACCTATGTCTAAGGATGAGATCATTATGGCTGGAACACTGCTACTAACGGTAAACCCTTTCAATCTTCTGAACTTGTATTTGGCAAAATTTCACTCTCAATCTTCATTGCTAATGGGTAATGAGAGGTCCGCCTTGCGGGTATGTACATGCTTTGCCTGGGTTCATTCTACTACAAGTATAATGAACTGTAAAATTGAAAATGCAATGTGCCACAATTAAATTTTAAATATCTCAACCTTAACCATGAATTATCAGTAGGTACTTTTCCATTGATGCCCACCTGATGTTCATGGTAGAACCAATCTGGAAGTGTAGACAAAATGTATTGTATATATCTATGTATGATGTTTGTATAATGGTTCATATTTATAATAGAAACATATAAAAAATGGACCAAATCCACCACTGCAAGGTTTAGGTCTATATGATATTTAACACCCCTCAGACCAGAACATCTGAACATGTACAGTCACATGCATCAATTTTGCCACAAATGTACCTAATTTTAGGACCGCAAAGAAATTTTGTTAATTCGCCCACAGGTCGATTAAGAAAATTAACAGACCTTGTAATGACATGTCCATACATAATCAACTTGTATATGCTTATATTCACTCATGGTATACTAGATTTGAGGAATGTGCGATGCCACTTAGTTATAATATCTTAGAGTTTTTATTGCGATTTGCAACATTAGCATGAAGCAGTTCCTGAAGTTTGTGCCTCAATCATACAAGTTCACGTACGGGTTAGGGGCATAGCACCCACATCATTATGTACTGTGCATGGGTTTGTCTGGAGAAGGGATAGGAGAATATTTATTCCAACTTCAGATGAAGAACAAGAGAGAAAGTCTTGACCATCATGAAGCCCCACACATTTAATTTACTAAGAGAATTGTATGGGTTTTATGCCACCGAACTGTCACGCTTCATCTGATCCATGAACTGTTTATGTCATGTTGCTACGTGGGTTTATTTTTTTGTTATCGTTCTTGAATCTGATACCATTAGACCAAATTGGTATGACCCTGGGTGCAGGCTCTTATTGTGTGTTGGTTTGTGTGAAGAAGTGGTAAGTGAATACATGTTCCACCTTCCCATGCTGAATAGGACAAAAGACCCGACCTATATGAAATCTGACAAGTTTAGTTCACCCAGAAAATTCTGTGATTTTTACTCATCAACAAGTGAGTGTAAACAAGGGTAAAATTGTATCCCACTCTAACTATAAAACTAATCCTTCCTAATTTGGATGCACCAATAAACTTTTCCACTTCCTCTTTATGTAACGAAAATAAGAAATTGGTGGTTTGTATTGATTTTTTCTCATTAAAATTAATCTCAACCACACAGTTTTCATATTTGTATTTCCTAAGAATACCTTTATGATATTTATAGCAAGGTTAATTGCTCAACTTCTATTTTGTATCTCAAGTTCAATCATATTGCTTATCTTAAGAGTTCAGGGAAGTAAATGTAATGTATTTGTAGAAGAAGCTATCCCGCTTCTAATTCATGGGTGATTATCCTTTTCCCCCTTAACTCCTCTTTTTCTATTGTGAAAAAGTTTTTTTTTGACATTTCAAGATAGCATTTTCAACTGGTGCATTTCACCTGAATTGTTTTTTAGAATTGATACTTTTTAATGTTAGAAATTCTAAGTAAATTATAAAAAATTGTACTTCTCTCTCCAGGGTTACCTCCTGGTAACGCCTAGTTTCGTTATTTGTCCGCCGTCGGCTTCGTCGAGTCGGGGTGAGGCTATTCATGCTTCGGCTCTGTGGCGGAGTCTCGTCCTCGGGTTTGGAGTTGGGCAGTGGAAGTTTTGGAAGGTTTTCGTTTGATCCCGAAGCGGAGTTGTTCGGTGTTTCGTCGTTCACGAGGCGGCGGGCTTGGAAGAAGACGAGGCGGCATAGCTGGTATGGAGAGCTTCGTAGACAAGTATAAAAAGATGGTGATTGGAGCAGAGGAGGAAGAATTGGATCTGGATGAGGGAGATATTGAGGAGGTACCGGTGGAGGTAAACAACCCGGGGTTTTCGGTGGTGGGAGTGCTACTGACAGACAAGAAGGTTAGAATTGCGGCCCTTAAGGAACTCATGTCTTCGCTCCGGAGGCCGGGAAAAGAAATGACAATCAAAGAAGTTGGTGATAACAGGTACCTTTTTACTTTCAATCATCGTGTTGATATGAACAATGTTATTGATGGTGGTCCATGGCAATTGGAGTGTAACCTGTTATTATCAAAGGAGGTGAAACCCGATGATATTTCACATAAGATTGTTTTAAATGAGGCTGACTTTTGGCTTCAAATTCATAATGTTCCCTATAGTCTGGTGAACCTAGGTATTGCAAGACGAGTTGGAAATTTTATTGGAAAATTTATAAAATATGACGATGCTCAGAATAAGGAGAAGTGGGAGCCCTTTATGAGAATTAGGGTGTGTATGAACGGGTGGGAGACCTTTATGAGAATTAGGGTGTGTATGAACGTAGATAAACTTTTGAAAAAGGGTACCAATCTGAAAAAAGAAGGAAAAAGTTTTTGTGTGGATTTTAAGTATGAGAATTTGCCCAATTTCTGTTTTATATGCGGGTTATTAGGGCATTCAGATAAATTTTGCCCGTTAAATTATGAAGAAGATATTGTGCTGGAAAAGAATTTTGGGGTTCAGCTTAGAGTAGGGATTGGGGTGAAGACCAGTCCTACAGGAGGTAGCAAATGGCTGCCGGAGGGTTCATCGAGCTCTGACAAAGAGTACAAGTATGTGGGGGAGATCAAGTCTCATGGCCGGCAGGATGGAGGGGAGAAAGAGTGTCTCAAAATCAACGTAGAGTAGTACTAAAGGCGTGGGAGCGGAAACAAAAGAGGAAAATTCAGGGGAACATAAGAGAAGAAGGATGGAGAGGATAATATTGCACTGGATGGGACAAACAATGGGGAGGGGATGGATTTTGATTTGTGAGTCCGCCAAAGCAGATACAATCAGAATGGATGAGGAAGTTACGGGTGCTCGTGCGACTTGGCAGGCTCGGGCAGAGTTTCAAGATTATTTGCTTTATTATTTTCTTTAGTGACAACTGTCTTTGCATTATCTTTTGTTTTGTTTTTATTGTTCCTGTTTGTAAGACGATGGATTTGGATAGGGGTGATGACAGGATTGCGGTAACCGTCTTTGGCTCATTTGTGCCCATTAATGAATCAGCGAATTATATTGCTTCTTTGGAGGCGATTAATTCTGAGTCTGGTTCGCGGGACGACGGTTGTTAGGAATCTTTTTGTCGGATTACCTACTATCTATATGATGTGTTATCAATTTAAGCCTATTTCTTTCAAAAAAAAAATGTTAGAAGAGATGACTCAAATCTGCTTAAAGCTAGGCTAGTAATGAGTATGGAGATTTCTCAATCCTACTTAAAACTACAGGGCTGTTTAAAGTTCTCCACTACTATGTAGTATTTTTATACAATTACTGATATGAGGCTGTTCACATATCTGGCTAGGGGATAGTGATGATTTCTATATCTAGGGGATTGTAGTGATTTATAATGTCATATATAAAGCTGATTTCTATGCAGTCTAATGTATACCTACATATCTCGCTTGATATGACATTTCAAAAGGCTAAAGTTTCATTTGGATTTATCAACTATAAAGCTGATTTGCTCGTTATCACTCCCACTCAAGATCATTCAACATCACATTGCAAATTAATTAAGAATTTGCCCTAAATAGGACTATAAACATTTGAAAATTCCAAAATAGTTATTCCCTAAATAGGAGTAATTGTTAGTAGTAGCGGGTTTTAGAAATGGCACCTGAAAGTTGTTACTTCTATCCAGGGAATAAAAACACAACACTCGTATTTTGGAATTTCAAAACTTTTTTACTCCTATTTTGGTAAGTTTCCTAATTTTATTTTTATCAACATTGAGTTACTTTGCAAATGTTAATATGGTTTTTGTATGATGAAGCTAAACCCCAACTCATGTTTTATGAATTCACTTTTCTTTGTTCCTTTTATAAGGTTGGACTCTGGGTTTTTGGTGGTGTGTTAAAAGTTGACGCTGTGACTGCTGCAATAATTGGATTATCTATCCTCATGGTGACTGGAGTTGTCACTTGGAAGGAATGCTTAGCTGAATCAGTTGCTTGGGATACTCTGACCTGGTTTGCTGCTCTCATTGCAATGGCTGGTTACCTGAACAAATATGGCCTTATCTCCTGGTTTAGTGAAACTGTTGTTAAGGTTGGTTTTCTCTGGTTTCTTCTTCCAGACTACAGTCCGAATTATTATGAAGTTCATAAGTTCATTTGCTGCGTTTTTTTCCTTTACTGATGGTGCTCAAGATATTTTCACTGACAACCATCAGTCCATCCTTGATCTGATTTTTTTGTCTTTATACCCTTATCTGTTCCATACTTCTACTTGTATATTTGTTTTCCTAATGTTTGAGTGTGTTTGTAAACGTGTAGGATCAACCCCAGAATTTTATATTGCTGCATTAAAGTGAATTGTTTTAAATGGACATTGATGTTTGACCTCTGTTTTGATATTCTCAGCTTTTTAATCTAACGATGTTTAAAGCTTTTAACAAAACAATGTTCTGACTATATCCTACCGAACTGCCGTTTTCTTTCTTATAATCATAATTGATAATTGACAATATGACATATAGTGGAATGACAAATTGGCATTAGTTCAAATTGAATCCACTTTCAAATTGAATATGTTTTTTTTTCTTTACCAATACAGTGAATTATTAAATGAAGTGATACATACAGTTGAGGTGGTGCCCAAAATGCTATGGAATTTACTTCATCTCCATTGTAATGTGAGAATCCCTTTTTCTTTGTAGGTTGTTGGCGGGTTAGGTCTTTCATGGCAGCGGTCATTTGGCATTTTAGTTCTTCTATACTTCTACTCTCACTATTTCTTTGCAAGTGGAGCTGCTCATATCGGGGCGATGTTTACAGCATTCTTGTCCGTCGCTAGTGCACTTGGTACGCCACCATTATTGGGAGCACTGGTGCTCTCTTTCGTCTCCAACCTTATGGGCGGCATCACGCACTATGGTATAGGATCAGCACCTGTATTCTTTGGTGCAAACTATGTTCCTCTTGGAAAGTGGTGGGGCTACGGGTTATTGATCTCAGTTGTTAATCTCATTATTTGGCTTGGAGTTGGGGGAATCTGGTGGAAGGCTATTGGGTTGTGGTAGAGCTGCTTGAAGTGGTAGCATGATATGAGGACCCTAGTTTTTGTGGTTATTCAAGATTAACCACGTTTTGGGGGCAATTGTGTTGGTGTTTTTTGTTGTTGTCATTCTTTACCTTAGCAAATAATAATTTAATGGAGACATTATATATTGGAATGGTGGATGAACAGCCTTAGGTCCATTTGTACACTTAGGCCAATCTATGATTTGTATTCTTACAATTGATTTTTGACACGGAAACATGGAATGGAAATGTTGTCATGTTTTGATAGATTGGCCGGCCAGATTCCTACATCCCCACTCTCAATTTTGGGACTAACCACTCATTATTCAGCTTTTGAAATTGTTTAACTCATGTGGATCAAACTAAAAATTATTTCTAGTTTGGGATTCAATTTTTTATGGGTATTCTAATTTTTTGTATCGTCTGGAATGACCTTGTCTGATATGAATTATGATCTCAAGTTTGGCCTGCTCTTATTTGGATTTGATCTAGTCTAGTGTGACACATTAAAATTGTACTTCGCATGTGCATTTATGGGTAATGTTGAATATTGTCATAGAAAACACTCCAAAAATCAAGAGCCTTTAATGAGGATATAGTACGGTCATTCAAACTTATAATATTTAAATTCAAATACTTCATACTATATTACTATGTTGTCTTTGGGTAAAAAACAAACCAAAGCATACTATTATTAGTATATAAAGTTTTTGGAAACATGTCATGGATACGAAGTAGTGGTGGACTCGGTTCGGGCCGGGCCCGGTTCGGGCCTAGAACCGGCCGGGCCTCAGTTCTAGGATGGCAGGCCCGGAACCGGCCCGGAAAACCCCGGGTCCGGTTCGGTTCGGGTCACCCGCCCGGTTCACGGGCCGGGCCGGGCCTATTTAATTTTTTTTTAAATATTATATAATTAGAATAATTCTGATTACAATTACAATATATTATATTCGAATTGAAGTATATTTATTTCAAATAAGAAGTACAATTGAGAATTAGGATGAATTTAAAAAATGTAATACATTTTGTAATAAAAAATCAATCGGACTCTCCGCCTTCGGTTGTTTCCTCCATAAAGTGGCGGGAGGGAGTGATGGTAATTTCTTGAGTTCTTCGTTGGGCCTTCAACCAATCGTGAAAGCAAACTAGTGTCTCAAGAGAGCTCGGGCTCAACCTCGTTCTATAATCGGTTAGGACGTAACTAATATGAGAAATGTAAAAATGTAGCAATTAACTAATTAACTAATATGAGAAATGTAAAATTGTAGCAATTAACTAATTAACTAATATGAGAAATGTAAAAATTAACTATTTTTTTTTACTTTAATGAGATATGTAGCAATTAACTAATATGAGAAATGTAAAATTGTAGCAATTAACTAATTAACTAATATGAGAAATGTAAAAATGTAGCAATTAACTAATTAACTAATATGAGAAATGTACAAATGTAGCAATTAACTAATATGAGAAATGTAAAAATGTAGCAATTAACTAATTAACTAATATGAGAAATGTAAAAATGTAGCAATTAACTAATATGAGAAATGTAAAAATGTAGCAATTAACTAATTAACTAATATGAGAAATGTAAAATTGTAGCAATTAACTAATTAACTAATATGAGAAATGTAAAAATTAACTAGTTTTTTTTTTACTTTAATGAGATATGTAGCAATTAACTAATATGAGAAATGTAAAAATGTAGCAATTAACTAATTAACTAATATGAGAAATGTAACAATTAAGTAGTTTAACTAATATTAATATGACAAATGAAACAATTAACTTTAACTACTTTAACTAATATTAATATGACAAATGAAACAATTAAGTAATTAAATAGATAAACGAGAAGTGTATATATAAATTAAGTAATTTATTAATATATAGTATATATAAATATATAATGTGTAAATATATTATAAGTAATATATAATATAATGTATAACAATATATAGTATATAATACAATGCGTAAAGAATTATAATATGAATGTGTATAAGTATATATTTATAAGTAGATAATTAATATTATAATATATAAGTAGATATAATAATTATATAAATTATATATATGTAGAAAGAATTTGGAGAAGATGAAGAATGAAGATGATTGAATATGAGAGATTGAGAGAATAGAGAATTTAGAGAGTAGGAAGAGTTGTAGAAGAAGGTGTAAAAAATGTATAGAAAATAGGAGTATAAATAGTTTTTTTTTTGTATACCCCCCACGTATTACGAAGGTAGATCTAGAGGATTTGGATTTGTCACCTTTAAGGATGAGGAATCCATGAACACTGCTATTCAGGATAGGGATGGATTCGGTTCGGGCCACCCGGCCCGTGACCCGGCCCGACCCGGTACTGTGCGGGCCCGGGACCGGCCCGGTCGGGCGGTCCGGGACCGGGTATGGACCCGAACCGATGGGAAGGGGCGGGGCGGGCTCGGTTCTGGTTTTTTGTGACCCGGCCCGGGCCCGGGTCCGGGTCTATTTTTAATTTTTTTTTTGTGGTTTGGGCTCCTACTATCCGTTGGGGGTGGGGCTGGGGACAACCCAAACGGCTATATAGCCGTTGGGTGGGGTAAAGGGGGGGTCCGGGGCGGTTGGCTGGTGGGGGGGTGGGGGGGGGGGGTGGGGGGTAAAAAAACCTATAAATACTCCTAATCTTAAACATTTTTTCATATCTCTTCTCCAATTCTTCCTAAATCCTATTCTTAACTCTCTACTCTCTAATTCTCTTATTCTCCATTCTCCAATATATTATATTTATTATTTATAGTTTATATTAATTATCTACTTATATAAACTATAAATAGATATAAATAGTATTATATTACTTATATTTGTTATCTAATTATATATTACTTATATATTTATTATATCTATTAATATAGTTGGAATTATATCTAATTAATTTGAAGTCATTCTATTACTCCCATCCGAAAGACCGAAAGTCCGAAAGAGGTACGCAATTATTCTATTATTTACACTTGTTTAATTACTAGTTAATTTGCTACATTTGACTCTTGTTTAATAGTTAGATAAATAGTTAATTAGTTTTTTACAATTTTTTATTAATTGCTACATTTGACTCTAGTTTAAAAAATATGTTGTACACAAAACTAGTTAATTCACTACTTAATTTGCTATAACTCGAATTAATAGTTAGATAAATAGTTAATTAGTTTTTTACAATTTTTTATTAATTGCTACATTTGACTCTAGTTTAAAAAATATGTTGTACACAAAACTAGTTAATTCACTACTTAATTTGCTATAACTCGAATTAATAGTTAGATAAATAGTTAATTAGTTTTTTACAATTTTTTATTAATTGCTACATTTGACTCTAGGTTAAAAAATATGTTGTACACAAAACTAGTTAATTCACTACTTAATTTGCTATAACTCGAATTAATAGTTAGATAAATAGTTAATTAGTTTTTTACAATTTTTTATTAATTGCTACATTTGACTCTAGTTTAAAAAATATGTTGTACACAAAACTAGTTAATTCACTACTTAATTTTCTATAACTCGAATTAATAGTTAGATAAATAGTTAATTAGTTTTTTTAAAATTTTTTATTAATTGCTACATTTGACTCTAGTTTAAAAAATATGTTGTACACAAAACTAGTTAATTCACTACTTAATTTGCTATAACTCGAATTAATAGTTAGATAAATAGTTAATTAGTTTTTTACTATTTTTTATTAATTGCTACATTTGACTCTAGTTTAAAAAATATGTTGTACACAAAACTAGTTAATTCACTACTTAATTTGCTATAACTCGAATTAATAGTTAGATAAATAGTTAATTAGTTTTTTACAATTTTTTATTAATTGCTACATTTGACTCTAGGTTAAAAAATATGTTGTACACAAAACTAGTTAATTCACTACTTAATTTGCTATAACTCGAATTAATAGTTAGATAAATAGTTAATTAGTTTTTTACAATTTTTTATTAATTGCTACATTTGACTCTAGTTTAAAAAATATGTTGTACACAAAACTAGTTAATTCACTACTTAATTTGCTATAACTCGAATTAATAGTTAGATAAATAGTTAATTAGTTTTTTACAATTTTTTATTAATTGCTACATTTGACTCTAGGTTAAAAAATATGTTGTACACAAAACTAGTTAATTCACTACTTAATTTGCTATAACTCGAATTAATAGTTAGATAAATAGTTAATTAGTTTTTTACAATTTTTTATTAATTGCTACATTTGACTCTAGTTTAAAAAATATGTTGTACACAAAACTAGTTAATTCACTACTTAATTTGCTATAACTCGAATTAATAGTTAGATAAATAGTTAATTAGTTTTTTACAATTTTTTATTAATTTCAGGACATGAACGACAGTGAGCTTGATAGACAAAACATCACAGTCAACGAGGCTCAATCTCGCGGATCAGAAGGTGGAGGAGGCTATGGTGGTGGATGTCATGAAGGTGGCTGTGGAGGATATGGAGGTAGTGGAGATTATGGAGGTGGTCATTGCGAGGGAGGTTATGGAGGCGGGGGAGGTGGACGTGACCGATGCTATGGAAGCGGTGGTTATGGTGGTGGTGGTGGTCGCTTGCGTTACTCCGGGGAAGGGGGGGATGCGGACGGGAGCTGGAGGAGCTAAGCTATAAATCTAATTTATTATCATTGTCGAGACTTTATGTTTGATCCGTTAGTTTAGTTGGTGTTGTGGTTCTGCCATATCTATCATGGTGTACTTTGAGATTCCCGTTACTGTTTGCTTGGATTGATTTAATTTGAGGTTATGTTGTCCCTGAAATATGTGTTTGCGAAAATCATTATGAATGCAGTGAAAGATATTTGATTCCAAAAAAACAAATGGAAACAATATATCTCATACATTTTTATTTGTAATAATTGTTCAATATATAGTTTAAGCCTATATAATGTTAGGATACAGGGGAAAATATCAGTCCAAATAATTCAATTTCGTAGAAAATAAATGTGCAAGTAGAAAAATATTTGTGAGAGTGCCAAAAAATAGTTTAATTTTTGTAAACATTTTCAAATTACATTGTGTGGCACTGGAAATGCTAATAAATATTTGACATTGGCAAAAAAGGTCAAGGCAGTGCCAAACATTCATTCTCTGCAAAAAAGATTTTTACATTTAATGAGTGTCAATGATTTCTTATGTTGTATGAACATTTTAAACACTTAATGAGTTAAATAGTGATTTTAAAAGAAATTTTAGTATTTATTGTTCAAAATCAATAAGAGAATTACAACTCAAACTTCATAACTTAGGTTTACTATAGAACAATAGATGAAAAATATTGAACAATAGATGGTGGTGTT